AAGTGGACTGAAGCGGGTGAAGGCAGACAAGGGGGAGATGAACATATTGATGGAACAGGAGATGAGTGTTGGTTTTAGCGAACTTATTACAACTGCCCCGAGGAAGATGAGTTAGCAAACACAAGAAGAAGATTGAGGAGTTGAAGAGCGAGTTGACAAGAACCCCAATTGGAAGAGAAATTGAGGGTCGCGGAGAGAAGGTCCATCAAAGTAGCAGAAATGGAGTTGTTTGGTTGGAACATATGCCTCTTGAGATTAAAGATAGAGTGGATAAAAATTTGGTCGTTCAACAGAGAGTGGTGGCTATTGGCTCTTTAGGTTTATGGTTTTTGTAGCTACCACAACCTATTTCTATCTTAAAACGAGAAATCATTGATTGATTTAGTGAATTAGGTCGATTCTTTATTCAACCTACTGAAACTGATAGAAAATGAGTGTCTAACTTTGTGTCTTATGACTTTGATCAAGTCTATTAGTATATTGGAGGCAACCCTAATTTTGTCGTTTACTCTCAAGTTTTGATGGTTCCCTCTTAGTTAAGTTTGTAGTATATAGTTGACTTGAACCAACAACTCTCTATTTCTTTTTTATTAGTGGCATGTTGTTCCTAAAAGGAGAGCATTGCAGCCTTTATGTAGGATTGTGAGGTTTTAGATTCAGTTTCAAACTATATAGGGGTCGTGTGATAATTCCATTGAGCTTTTATATTCTATTTTTATCAACTAACCAATATAATATTATCATTGTGAAAATGAAATCAATAATACATTTTTTTATTTTATATTCTTAAATGATTATGGTATTTCTTCGAGTGTTCGACCTATATATAATTAAACCATTTAAACGGGTTGATAGACTTAAACTTAACATAAAATTATAAATATTCAAATTTGAACATTCCGGCCAACGAGCCGGGTTATAAGCTAGTATTGAAGAAAATCGAATTTTATGGGTGGATACGACTTTCGATTTTTGGAAAAACCGAAGTATTGTAGTTGGTGTGAATTTGGATGATTACAATATGAGAATGCTCAAATCCACTCATGATACTACATTATCATTATCTTATATATTTATGAATATATTCATTCAACTACAAATCTCTTAGTTCAATTGTTACTCGTGTGGTTTGTTTACATAGTTAGAGTTTATGAAATGTAAATACATTTATTTACCAAGTATTTCCAACATATATACATTTCTTCCCGCCCTCTTTATATTAAACTAGGTGGCGATTTCGCGCCTTGTCGCGGGGCAGAGATGGTCTACGGGCATGTAATATGTGACCCATTATGGTGTTTTGTTAGTATTATTAGCCTAAAATTAATTTTTTATTAGCACTTTTGTTAGTAATATTGATTTAAAAGAGATATATGTGAGTCAACTTCCAATTTTGAAAATTTTGAAAATTTTGGCTGATAAATGATATTTACCTAAACCCAAGTAGACTCATTGATTATGGGTAGGGTATGGGTGACGTATATATGGGTTTGGAAGTTTGTAGATGAGTTTGGGTAGTGTATGGATATTTACTTTCATAATTTAAATGTGTATGAGTTAGGTATTGATACCCATTTATTCGATGGTGTTTCAATTACACATACAAAAATTAGACCTATTTGTAGAACTTCAAAAGTTTAGGTACTCAAATGTAATACACAAAAAATTTAGGTACTAAAATGTAATATTCCATCAATATTATGAGGACTTATATGTCAAAATATAAATGTAGGTTATAAATCTAAAGATCTATTAAGTTTAGGTATCCAACTGTAATTTGCATAGTTTAGGCTTAACTCCTTTTATGGTGATGTATTTAAGATGATAATTATTTATTTTTTTATATAAAATAGGAAACTATTTATTTGATGTGTATAATTGTTGAAAATTTCATGTGTTGTTGAAAATTCTAGCCCGAGTGAAAAAGAAAAACTCTAGAGAGAAGCAAAAGGAATACAAACTGGAACTCGCTTAAAATTTCACGCCTTCAAATCTTATAGTGAAAAATGACGACTTTCTAATAAGTAATAACCATATATATTTATTTTTAATTGGACTCGACATTGGGCTGAAAAAAGAATGGTTCATAGTTCAATTATTAATTCTCTAGACTGTTGGTCAGTCCTGTATGGACTCATTCAAACTTGTGATTATAATACATAAAAATAGTATACTAATTAGGGTTAGACGAAGAAGGCAAAGAAAGGGTTAGGAAGGTGAGTGAAAAATGAAACGAAGAGGAAGTAGATGATGGAAAGATTTTGACCAATTCTCTTAGTTGGCCTTCAATACAACAATCAACCCTTTTCACCATAGCAATTTATTGACAATTGGCTATGTATATGTCGCATATGTTGTTACATGTAGTTAGTAGACGTTTGTTTAGTCCCCCGTAAATGTACTAAATGAATTTATAAATTCGCTCTTGCAATATGTTAGAGTCATCTCGCTTTTATCATTTATTTAATGTTTTCCGTAATGATCAAATATAAAATGGTCGAATCTTCTCCTACAGCTGAGTGATACAACATCTTGTATGGTACAACCTAAATTTATACTTTTATGTTCAGGTGGATTTGATTCACGGATTGGTTCAAAAGGATTGCTGGAATGGATTCATAGATTCAAGTGAAAACTAAATATTGGACCAAAATGTAAATTTGAAAAATTGTAAGTATGAAAATCTCATAAAACTTAGATACCAAAACATAATTGTTCAATCATTTTATATTAAAATTAAATTTGGGGTATTAAAATGTAAAATGTATATTATAATGACTAAGTTGTAATTTAATTAAATTTGGAGTATCACAATGTAATAAGTTAGGCAACAGTAACCTTACTTCACGTTTATATATATTAATTTAATGTTTCCCGTAATGATCAAATATAAAATGGTCGAATCTTCTCCTACAGTTGAGTGATACAAAATCTTGTATGGTACAACCTAAATTTATACTTTTATATTATGGTGGATTGGATTCATGGATTGGTTCAAAAGGATTGCGGGAATGGATTCATAGATTCAAGTGAAAACTAAATATTGGACCAATATGTAAATTTGAAAAATTGTAAGTATGAAAATCTCATAAAATTTAGATACCAAAACATAATTGTTCAATCGTTTTATATTAAAATTAAATTTGAGTATTAAAATATATATTATAATGACTAATTTGTAATTTAATTAAATTTGGAGTATCACAATGCAATAAATAAGGCAACAGTAACCCTACTTCACTTTTATATATATTAATTATTTTTATTACAATGTATTAATATGAAAAACATTATGCCACTAGAATATCTCATTTGTTTTGTCGTTTCATATTATATAGTGCATGTAATGGCGTAGCCAGGGTTCGAGTTTAGTGGGGTCTCATTTACAAAAAATCTTATAATACTATATTCAATTATCAAGTAAAGTTTCTTAAAAATATTCATTCAAGTAGTCATTCATCAAACCATTAGTTAGTAGATTTGTACCTTACATTTTGTGTAACTCGTAATTGAAAAATGACATTTCAATAACTAGCTAAAGTAAATAGTTCTCAAGCAAAATCTAATACACACAAACATTTTATAAAACACATTTGATGACAAAGAAATTGTATATTGATAGAAAAAAATTGTTGGAGTAAGAGCTTTTTAGATATAGTTGAGAGTTTTGTACACATATTTAGTAGAATTAGAAAATTTTAGAATAAGGACTATAAATTTGGGAATTTTCGATGATATATGACCATTATTGTCTAATTTATTTGCGTGTTTCATAATATTAGTACAATTAAATTCTACTTGAATAGAGTTCTAAATTCTAAATCTACCCAAATTAAATAAGTATGTACATACATATAACCATTTTAATTTATCCAAGTGGGATCCTAGAACCTCACTCCCTTCCACCTCCCTCCGCCACTGGCATGTATCATTCTATGTTTTATATTATTAAAAGTATAAATTTATGACACAAAAAATTGGTATGGGTATGGTATTAAAATTAATGAACGTGCTTTGATTTGCCATCATTCTACCCATGACCGATTGGTAGTGCTAGGTTATTCCGTCAACGGTGTACTCGATAATCGAACAAGAATCGGTACTTAATGGTTACATTGATAACCAATTAAATAGTAAATGGTCGATTTCGGGTAGCCAAATTAAACTAATAACTAATTAATGGTTATATGATTAATAATTAACGGTTAAACGGTTAACCGACTAACCGATTATGACCATCCTCATAGTTAGAGTCGAAAATAATAGAACTCCATGAGCCGCAAACATTGGCCGAAAATAATGGGGTGTTTGAATGCTTACAAGACCTCTTGCATATCCAAGTTATACTAGTGATTTAGACTCAAATGAGAATAATTTAAAGGAACAGTTTTAGAAAGAACACAGTAGAAAGTCAGGCTTGCGCATAGTTGCTAGACAACAATCAGTAACATTAAGCTTTCGTGTAATTTGGTGGGGTTTATGAGTTTAGTAATTGTTGTTGGGTCACTTATCGTTGTATGCTTTTTTAATAAAGTTTGACGGTAGAATGATATTATTGTGTACTTATGTTGGATTGTGTGATTATGTATGGATATATATCTATGTTAAAATATTTTTTATTCAACGATAACAATTTAAGAAAAGAACACATGCGTATGTATGAAAAATTATAGAAAATTTCACAAATTGAAAAAGGAGGTATTTTGTTGGTTAGGTTATCGATCGATTATTTTGGTATAACTTTACCGAATTACTTGGTCAACAGTTATTCCATTAACCGACAAAGTAACCGAGAACCGACAATACGATTACAGTTAACCGACTAATTTAAACAGTGCAGTCACAAAGTGATTAACAGTTAACCGAGAACCGACAAAACGATTCCGGTTATAACCAAACCGATTATCAACTCTACTGATTGGTAAGGTCTTAAAAATGATTAAATCCAAACCCAACAGACCCAGACCCACATACACCCGATCGCTTGGCCAGTTACCAAAGGCTAAAATCCAGTGTTATTAAGACCGGACCGAATCGGCAGGCCGGATCGCTAAAGCCGCCACCCGACCGCAAAACCGGCTCGGACCAGTCATTTAGCCGCTACAGTTTTATGGAGCGGCCGATGCGGTTAACCGCTCAAGCCGCTCGAATCGGTTGCTCGGTTTTCGTCTTTCGGTCGTTCTGTTTAATAAAATAAATTGAAAAACGAAAAAATGAAAAATTGAAAATTGAAAACGAAAGGCCGAATCGTGGGCCTATGAAAGAAACCCTAACTCTAATTCAGTTTTCGTCTTCGACTCTTCGTGAACAGATGGAGAAGAGCGACGCCAGACCCTGCCGCCGTCAACTCTTCCCGTCCTGTCTTCCCATCGGCATCCTCACCATCCCCAGTCAGGGTAGCAGCTCCCAGCTCGCCATCGCCAGTCTCCGTCCCCGTCCCCTCTTCCCGTAGCAACTCCTCCGTTCCGTCGTCACTTCCCATCCGGGCACTTCCTGTCGCTATCCCCAGTCCCTGTAGCCGCTCCCGGCTCTCGACTCCCCGTTCGCATGTTTTGGAATTGTTAAGAGTGTAATTTACTAATTTAGTAATGATTTACCATGATTAAGAAGTGTCCATTATTTATACTGATTGTTTAATTAGGTTCTGGTTTTCTAACGGTTTCTAAATGGTTTAATGCCGATTGGACCGCTAAAAACTGAGCTGTTCACATTATCGTGTTATACTCCGGTTGGCTTTTGACAACATTGCTAAAATCTGACGCTCTCTCCTCCGAACAGTTTCTTCGCTAGAAATAAAGCACATTATTGCAGCGCGAGCCATTCTATCGAACGAACGCATTTGGAAGATAAAAAGCAAAGTTTGGTGGACAGGGTGATTAACTGTTTCAAGAATAATTCAAAGGACTATCACATAACACAATTCAAAGAAACAGCAAGCAGAGTCAAGTCTCCTTCGTGAATCTCCCTCCCGCCAGTTCTAAACAACACAGATTCATATATAGTTGAGTACGGACTTCCAAAAGTTGACACATCAGTTTCGTTGGCAGCAGCGACGCGATTCTATGTGCGAGCCAGCCACATTTGATCAATCGCGCTCACTAATGGCAGTCAAGTGTTCATCTATTTCCTCAGTAGACAAAACCCTGAAAACTGGATTGTCCGCTCTCACCACTCCCACCTGCCAATGCAAAATATAGATCAGCACAAAGGTTAACGAAGCTGCTAACTAAGCAAGACCTTTCTTCTTAATACAAATCCCACTCTGATGCTCTGGTCTGCGTACTCTCATATATACATGTCCCAGAAAAAGAACCAACACAGAGAGAAACATGCATGGCTTGTACAATCCTAAATGGCCAGGATCAAGGCAACATAGCATTTTTGTTTTACCCAGCCGATAATGCCAACGTGTATTTTGACCTCCCAATGTTCACATAGGAAAGCAAGTAGAGATGCCATCGTCTTTGCTTCAACTATTGCTTTCTAATGCTCAAAGCACTTATCATTGACAGTTCAAATATATCAAAAAGGAACTCCATACCTCAATCTCAGTGGCCTTAAAGTCCTCTTGCAGAACAGATTGCAAAGCAGATATGGCAGTCTGAGAACAAGAAAAGGCAACGATATCAGGAGCATACTATACAAGGCAGTATCACAGGAGACGTAGACTTTTAAAAAAAAAAAAAAAGATTTCTTTTTTTCCTTTTTGTGAAAACAATACAAGAAACAGCAAGCACAAGGAAGCTCTTAATGGATTTCTCCCCTGGAATATGAAGACAAACCTGCACTGTTTCATCATAGGAGAATGCAGGATCATTTTTCATTTTCTTCTCCAGAAAATTTATAGCCTCCTGTTCTTTCAACCCAGCACTTGTGGCCTGAAAGACGTCGTTAATTTAAGGCCACCAAGTAATATGTAATCAACAAAGCATGGAACTACAAATAAACTGTAGACACAAATAATAGTGGTTTTCTTTTCCCCTATGTTCCAATTTCATTCTTAATGATTCTCAAATGTCTCTGCTTTACTATATGCATTAATGAATGATGATGGTTGCTGCAAGTTGTGAACCTTGTGCATGTGTGGGTTCATGTTTTTCATCTTTCCCGTAGTGAAACGGCTCAATCCCTTGGGGTTACCTAAGTCACAAGGGTACTAAACCAGTGTTTGTAGTTTACAACCTTGAGACTTAGAAAATTTTCAAGGAGAAATTACTTACCTAGGTTACTTTATTTAGTGTTATGATCAAGGAATTTTGGTTTACTAGATACTATTTGATAGGAAAAACTAAAACCAGTTGAAGACATCAACACGAACCACATGTTAAGGACTTAAGGACAAAGGAAATGTTACCTTGTGTCCAAAAAAGTGTCCAGCTGGGTCACATTTATAAAGTTGAGCCCCCTTCTCATCGTCGATGCCCAAAACCATAGCAACTTCACGGAAAGAGAGAGAGAGAAGGTAAGATATACTACTTTGCTTTGTTCTCTTCATTTATCTTCCCCTACCGACAATCAAACTGAAGACCTAACTGTTTGAGTATCATACGCAAAAAGCTGGGCCCAGAAATGCCAGAGGATATAATGCTAACAGACAACTAAGAAAGCACATTAGCTCAAGCCATCTGTAGGTGAACAAAACGTCAATGCAACTATCTTCAATACTACATGAAACTTAAATAAAGCTTAGCTCTCTTTAACACAAGCATAAATATCAAAAGAGTAAGTTCCAGAACAAGTGGCAATGAGCATCATACCTACTCCAAGCGGTCTCATGTAGGCATGTTGTGTATAAACCTGTGACTTATCTGCTATCCTGTTGACGCGAAAATAGACAGAAAGTCAATTGAGAAAGGAAAGAACAAGTAGAAGTCCAAGATCCTAAGGGACAAAGAAAGACAATTTAGAGGGTTAGACACAATAGAGAAAATGTCATTTCCAAGCATGGGAAACTAACTTAATAACTGAAACACAGTAGTCGACAAAGGATACAAGCTGTTTAAATGGCAATGCAAAGAAAAAGACTAATAAACTCTCATCTGGAGTTGAATTGCAGAAACACACATATTAACGAAGTGCTGACTGGAGAGCCATCAACATTATAGAGTACAATGTGAAGTCCCTTACCATTTTGACAATACATCGACTGGCATTTCATAGCCATATCTAAACCGGAAGTCAGCAGCTTCATTTCTTGCTTGTTGGACCAAAGTCCTTGCATCAGCTGGAAAATTTTATGGAAGCCCTCATCATTGACAAATATAATATGATAAGGGTGTGAGGGTGGCGAGTAACGAAGGAGCACTAAGTAAAATGACACTTTAGGCGATTCTGAGCAACAATGCAGGTACATTGCCCAAATCTAAGTTTTCTAAGAATCCGAATCTGTGACTTTTAGGCTAAACTTCATGTGCTATTTAATGTTGGATCAGGACTCATCCTAGTAACGGATGTTAAATAATACATGAATCAAAATTTCATGTTACTAGTTAAGGGAAACGATAAATAAAATAAGAAACAGCACAGTTGAAGATCTATTAGCTTGCTTAAGAAGCGAAATCAGCTTCACAAATTGAAAGCTCAATTTCTAGGGCAGAAGGGTACTTACCAAACAGAACTAATTATTAACAAGAATACAAGACAATAGCACCAAAAGGATTATAGTAACAAGTAACCTTCATGATAGAGTTAGGCAATTTCTAGGGATATTATTTCAAGCACTTCAACCCAGGTCCCATAGGTAACTCTTAGCACGTAATCCGCCAACAAAAACTCGAAAACCCACCAATAGTTCTACTATCTCAATTCAGAACAATGAGAAACTTATCCAACCAGTTCATGTATTATAAATCATCAGTCATTCTTACTAGTAATCGACAAGCCACCTCTAACACACTTCAATGCAATATACTGAAATAAAACCTACTCAATGCATAACCAAAGGAAAAATCGGTGCACAACATAGAAGAAGAGAACAACAAACCTGTCATGCCCGTCGCCAGCAACCCAAGGTACTTGGTGATAGGGAAAAGGTGGGTGACGCTAGTCTGATCCAGAAGCTTGTCCTGTTCATTAGGTGAAAGGAAAAGCACTATATTACCCTCTAAAAGTTGGGCAAAACTGAACCCGTAAAACAAAAAAAGAGAGAAACCTAGCAAACTCGTAGTGAGAAATCTGAATCAATTGACTCACCGGAACCTTCTTCTGGGTGACTACGCAGACGGAATCCTTGCCGCGAACGCCTATCGATGTAACAGCAGCCGCCTTCACTGCCTTGAAAGCGTACTCTACAAAGCAAGGACAGAAGCATCATTAATATGCGAAATGCTTGCTGGTTACTGGCTGTTTCCCGATATTTACAGAAGACGAGAGGCTGATTTCGGTGCGAAAAAGAAGGCAAGGAGAAGAGAGATTGAAGACATTACCGACTTGGAAGAGACGACCTTCCGGCGAGAAGATTGTGATGTGACGATCGTAGCCGCCTCCACTTCCTCGGCTCATTATGAGTTACTTACTAACGACTGTGGTTGGGAAGGAATTCGATTTCCTTGACGATTGGGAGAGCTATGAGGGTTGTCTACTGGTTTCAAAGTTCAGACCTCGAAGTTCGACGACCTGCTGCAGCAGCAGCGGATTTGAGTTTTGTATTTGAAGGAGAGAGAATCGCCCCAGGAAGAAGGTGACTCGCTGCACAAGAAAACTTGGAATTCAGAATTTTCAGATTTCCCTCTTGGTCCTGGGCCTGGGCCTGGGCTTGTGCTCAAAATATTTCTAAATAACAGTAACACTGCCGAATATTTTTTTGGTAGAAATACGGCCGAATATATAGTTACGGTAACACCTTAGACAAATCTCATATCGACAAAGCACGGGAGAGATTCATAGTTCATAAGTAGGAAACCGGTCTTAACTGACAAGACACATTTTGGGGTGAAACGGAAGAGTTTTTGTGAGAACTACAAAGTTAAACGTGCTTCTTGTGGAGTACAACAAGGATGTGTGACCTTATGGGAAGTCACCTTGAATTGCACTCCAAGTCGAAAACCGTGAGGGTCGAGGCCCAAAACGGACAATATCTTCGTTGGGAAAAGTTTCGGGATGTTACAGTTACGCCTTACAAACAGTAACTTAACTTTTGCTACCAAAAAAACAATAACTTAACTTTCAAATCACGTGTTTTTTAATATGATTCTGAAAAGAAACTTTGAAAATGATTCTGAGAAAGAATTGCTCTTGTAAGCAAACCATTTCATCGCATGATGAAATACAAACAAGAACAGTGATTCGGGTCCAATTGTACACATTTTATCCCTCATTTCTTGATAGTTAGGCTTTGCATTTCTTCGTCCCTCGACATATTTCACGCTAGGTTGTGCTTGTTTTAATACATTTAAGGTCCTAGCACGTGTGGAAGGGTCGATGACGTGTTTCTGAACGATTGGAGGTCGAAAAGCGCAGAAATCGAAGAAAAGTCCAAAGTGGCGACCGTGACAATTGCCCCGTGACCGTGAAGCGCAGGCGTCCAGGAAGCAGCTACAGTTCACCGCTGAAGCAGTTAGTTCACGGTCACACAAGATTGTGAAATGGAACCACAAGCCGTGAAGCGAAGAGCGTCCAGAGGGGTTTCAGAGGATACTGATGCCAAGGAAGTTCACGGTCGCTAAAACCGTGAACTGGGGCCATGGACTGTGAACCCCATAAGTGAAGCGGTGCGTTTTGATCAAAGTTCTCGGTCCCTGCCATTAGTTCACGGGCGTGAACTGGACGCGACTGGGTATAAATAGAGAGCTGAAAGGAGGAAGAAAGGGAGCTTTTGGTAGGTTTTTAGTGTGCAGAATAAAAGAGGGTTTCTAGTGAGAGATCAGGGTTTCCTCTTCCCATTCTAGAGAGAGTGTCATTCAAAGGAGGAAGAAAGAGATTTGGGTTTGCCCTAAGCTAGAGGAGTGAAGATTCTTACCTCTCAAGGGGGATTCAAGCAAGGAGGAAGGAAGATTGTCATCTCTTCATGGTTCTTTCTCTCATCTTTCTTGTTTTCCTTTGCCTAACTATGAAATAGCCCACCTAATCACTTGGGTATTGTGAATCCTAGTCTATATGTGTATTAGGATGAAATAACATGATTCTATTGTGTTGATTGTGTGTTTTATATGATTTTTGAGGTATTAATCATGAATGATTGAGTGTTGATTGCATTATCTCATTGTTGGGTCGAATTGACCTAGAGGGTGGAAATCCCCATTTGTCCCATAGGGAGCTTGACCTCCTAGCCTCTTGGGTAACCCCTTCTAGGTTAATATAGGGCCAAAACCTCAAGTATCAGAGTAGTACCATGATTCTTTCATGGTTGGTCTCTCTGCCATCCATATTAAGTTCCGAGGGATTGGTTTGCAATCCTTAATTGATTAGTTAAGAGGGTTAGATTGCCTAGCCTATTGTCGCAATCCTTGGCCGAAAGGTTAAGAGAGTTAGTCTACTAACTTATCACGACAATCCTTAGTTAGTTAACTAAGAGAGTTAGGGTTTTCGTCGTTGATCGAACAAGAGAGCTAGGAACCCTAGCTTATTCTTGCAATACTTAGCCGAGAGGTTAAGAGAGCTAGGTTCCCTAGCGTATTGTAGCAATCCTTGATTGATCGACCTAGGACGGTTTGCTCCTAGCTTGTTGCACCCGCCTCATGATATTTAAACATATCCTTCACACTAGGGCTTCGTTCATTGTTGCTTAGCACAAGACTAGGGGAAGCAATACCCAAGTGAAGTCCTCTCATATAGAATTCTCCTCGATTTACTTTTCTGTGTGTTTATTTTGTATTTTTCTTAGTTTTAAACCCAAAACTGTTTTGTTGGATAACAACCTAAGCGATTGAAGTAGGGGTACATGGACCGGCCCGGGTTGACAATTAAATACTTGCCCTATACTGCACCCAGCTAGAGTTTAAAAACTTAGGCTCTAGTCGATATTATTCGCGGTGTAGCTTTGTGCGAGTCAAACAGAAACCGTTGATATGGAGGGCCTAGTAATTGTTTTCATATTTCTATTTTTCATAACTTTTGAAATTGGTATATCTAACTCCTTTTATGAAATCATAGAAATTTTCCTTCTGATAGATTCTCCCAGATATCCAGAGAAGCAGATACAGATAACTCACAATGTGAATCTCAAGCTTGCTACAAATGTGAAATAAACGGCCACATAAGGGTAAACGATCCATAGACATAAAAAGCCACAAAACGGGCAATGCTAGCTTCTTGGAGTAATTATGAAGATGACTATGATAATGAAAGACAAGTTGAAGAAGCCTATATGGTTGTGGTCTCAAGTGAAGTAACTGGTTTCACTAATCAAGAGGAGTTCTCCTCCAGAACAACACACATTGAATGCTCTAAGAATCATGAAAACTAATGGTACAATGGGGTGCTACAAACGGTTTCTCATAGTTGGCTAGGAGGTAAATTTTGTTTTTGTAAACACGGTTTGAAACAAATGAAGATGTCAAAACTTAATATGGTTAGGGGATTGCCAATCCGAAAGAAAAAATTTGGTTTTTCCCCCATGGTACATGTGATGCAAAAAAAAAAGGATACTAGAGAATCCGTGAAACCAAAAAGCATTTGTGACTTCCAGTATTGCTTTCGAACTTATCCATATGAATCTATTTGGTCCTTACAGACTTCAAATGTCACTAGCTTAGGAGGAAAAAATTATGTGTTTGTCTTGGTTGATGACTACTCTTGTTACACATGGTTTACTTTCATGCTCTTAAAGATGAAACTCTTGTTAAGCTTCAATCCTTCTATCGCTTACATGAGAGAAAAGATCATGAGCATTAAAGTGATAACAAAAGTGAATTCATGTCAAACTCCTTTGAATGTTTTTATAATACTTCTGATATGGATCACTTGTATTATGTCCCTAACACTCCACAACAAAAGTGGTAGGGGTGGGCAACGAGTACCTAGTCCCATTTGGTGAGAAAATTTCATCGCATGTCCCAAACCAGTTGGTGTTAACGTATACCCATTAGCCGTATGGGACGGATAACGGGTACCCGCAGATAACCCATAGAACAATCATCTTCAATCCTTAGGCCAACGAGAAATCGTCCACCAAGTATTATTTCCAATGAGTGCACTTGTGCACTGTCCACGGAGCCGAAAGTGAAAGTCTCAAATAGTTGCCCGCAAACTACAAAGGAAATAATGAACATGATGACTAATTAATTTCAATAATGGAAGCATGTGCTATTGAAACTAATTTAAAAGTTCAATTACCTTATGATTGCACCAAGAATAAATGGAAGTGCAACAATTTGAAATGTCGTCCTGCATCCAAGTTTATCAGCCAACGAGCCGCAACCAATGCTTCCAAAAAAATACACCAGCGATGAATATGCTCACCACAAATCTCTCAAGTAACGAAATCCCTTCAAAACCAGCTCCCTCGGAACGGAAACTACAGGTCCATTCATTACCCTACAACAGATTCAATCACATATTCAAAGTGTTGCCCCAAGACGATTTTCTACTGGAATAGATAACTAGTGAACTGAAGCAGTAAATCAAACAAATCTTTCATCCGGAATGTGTACTTAGCAGCTACAAGAGCTATGAATCAACAAGTTTCCATTGGGTTGGGCCATGGGCGGGTAGTACGGGACCCGTAACCCTCAAAACATGGGACATGTATGGGTATACCCCAAATACCTGTTTCATGTTGCCCACCCCTACAAAGTGGAGTCGTTGAGAGAAAGAACGCACAATGATAGAATGCACTAAAACCATGTTGTTAAAATACAACTTGCCAGAACCTGTTAGTACAGCTTGCCATGTGATCAATTGTATTTTAGTCTGAAAAGTTATAAACAAAACTCCTTAGTGTTTGTTAAATAATAAAAATCCTAATATATCATATGTTTCCATCCCTTTGGATGTTGATGCTTCCCCTTAATACTAAATTCAGTCTAGGAAAATTTTACTCTGAGTCGGAGGAATCAATTTTCAAGGTTACTCTATTAGGGGCCAAACTTACAGTATATATAACAAAAGAACAAAGCAAGTTGAAAAATCTATTCATGTGTTATTCGAAGACACTCACTTGTCTACTAAGATTGCATGTTCAGAAGCTTATGATGTGTATGAAATGACAACTGTCAGCAACCATCCAGTCTTTGAAGATCAAGTTCCACCATAAAATACTGAAAACTCCACCGTAGATACAAAAATTGCAATACCAATTGAGGATAGACAATTTAGTAAGGAAGTTGATCCAATGAATACTACAATCATTCCATGTTGGGTGATAGTTGGGTAGGTTAACCATTAACTAGTAATGTGGTTAGCGGCTACCACCAACCAAAAAATCATTCTCGTAAGCTGACCCATCACATAACAGTTAACCATTACCCATCGATGTAGTTAGTTGTTATTTTAGTGGTTAACCACCTACCTCTGAAGAGAGGAGGATGGTGGTAGGTTTTTCGGATTTGGCGAATCGAAAAAGG